CACAGCAACCTCAAACTCTTGGGTTTAAGTGATTCTCTTGCTTCAGCCTCCCAAGTAGCTGGGACTACAGGGGCCCGCCACAACACCCGGCTATTTTTTGGTTGTAGTTGTTACTGTTGTTTGGCAGGCCCAGGCTGGATTTGAACCTGCCAGCTCTGGTATATGTGGCTGGCACCTTAGCTGCTTGAGCTATAGGCACTGAGCCAAGAATGATCTTTTTAAAAGATAATAACAGGCCAGGTGCAGTGCCCCTTATTACCTTTTTTTAAAAAATTATTATTATTTTTCTTTTTATTGAGACAAAGTCTCACTTTGTGGTCCTTTGTAGAGTGCTGTGGCATCATAGCTCATAGCAACCTCCAACTCCTGGGCTTATGCAATTCTCTTGCCTCAGCCTCCCAAGTAGCTGAGACTACAGGCACCCACCACAATGCCCGGCCTTTTTTTTTTTTTTTTTTTGTAGAGACAGGGTCTCACTCTGGCTCAGGCTGGTCTTGAACCTCTGAGCTCAGGGCAATCCACCCACCTCGGCCTCCCAGAGTGCTGGGATCACAAGTGCTCTTACCTTTTACTACTCCCTTATTACCTTTTATTACCACTCTGGGAGGCTGAGGCAGAGGATCGTTTGAACTCAGGAGTTCCAAGACCAGCCTGAGCAAAGGGAGACCCTCATCTCCACTAAAAATAGAAAACTTTTTAGTGGAGATGCCAGGCATGGTGTCGGGTACCTCTAGTCCTAGCTACTTGGAAGGCTGAGGCAGGAGGATTATTTGAGCCCAGGGGTTGCTGTGAGCTAGGCTGACATCATGGCACTCTAGGCAACAGAACAAGACTCTGTCTCAAAACATGATCAAAAACAAACGATAATAACAATACACAAGTATTGAGTACTTACTATATGCTAAGAAGTGTTCTAAAGGTATCATATTAACTCATTACATCCTCATAGTAACTTACAAGGTAGGGTCTATTTTTATTACAAATTTACAATGGAAAACTAAGTTCCTTGCTCCCAAATTCCAGAACTATATATCACATCATGTTACCAACCAGTTGAAAACATCCAGTTTCACTAAAATAAAATTTAAATTCTTTACTATGGCCTAAGGTCCTACATAATCTATCTTTTTTTTTTTTTGAGATGGAGCCTCAAGCTATCCCCCTGGGTAGAGTGCCATGGCATCATGCTCACACAACCTCCAACTCCTGGGCTCAAGCGAGTCTCCTGCCTCAGCCTCCCAAGTAGCTGAGACTACAGGCGCCTGCCACAATGCCTGGCCATTTTTTGGCTGCAGCCATCATTGTTATTTTGGCGGGCCCGGGCTGGGGATTCGAACCCGCCACCTTAGGCTAAGGTGGCTGGTGCCTTAGCCGCTTGAGCCACAGGCGCCGAGCCCATAATCTATCTCTATTCACCTCTCTAACTTAATTTCTCCTACTTTTTCCCACGCTTACTACATTTTGCTAGTCAAAATGTTTGTTTGTTTTGTTTTTGAGAAAGAGTCCTGCTCTGTCACTGATGCTAGAGTGAAGTAGTGTCATCATAGCTCACTGCAACCTCAAACTCCAAAGCTCAAGCAATCTTCCTGCCTCAGCCTCCCAGCTAATTTTTCTTGCTCAGGCTGGTTTTGAACTCCTGGCCTCAAGCAATCCTTCCACCAAAGCCTCTCAAAGTGCTAGGATTATAGGCATGAACCACCCACATCTAGCCTATAATTTATACATTGCTTGAATAGGGCCTTGTCAGCCTGGAGACTTTGCACGTACTGTTCCCTCTACCCAAACTATATCTTGCCTCACCTCATGACCCACTCATTCTTTTTTTTGTTTTGTTTTGTTTTTTAAGAGACAGAGTCTCACTTTATTGCCCTCCGTAGAGTGCTGTGGCATCGTCACACAGCTCACAGCAACCTCCAACTCCTGGACTTAGGCAATTCTCTTGCCTCAGCCTCAGAAGTAGCTGGGACTATACACGCCCACCACAATGCCTAGCTATATTTTTGTTGCAGTTTGGCCGGGGCTGGGTTTGAACCCACCACCCTTGGTATATGGGGCCAGCACCCTACCAGCTAAGCTACAGGCACCGCCCCTGACCCACTCATTCTTATCCTTCAGATCTCAGCTCTAAACTCATTTCCTCAGAGAAGCTGTCCCAGGCCTTCATATCTATAATGGCCTTCATTGGTTATCCTTATTCTATCGTCCTATTTATTTTCTAACACTTAATGCTGACCTTTATTTTGTTTTTGTGTTTACTGTCTGTCTCTACCAGCAAAATATAAACTCCAGGAGGACAGGAACCCTTCAGGTCTTTTACCTCCAGTGCCTAACATAATGTATCCAAGCACATCATATGTGCTTAGAAAACCTTTGATAAGTAAATGTATCTGCCACTGCTTCTACAGGCAAGGCCTTCCTTGTATTCTCTACATGCTGACCATCTATTCATACTTCAGGATTCAGACCAAAGATCACTCCTGGGAAACTGGTTTTCTGGAATCCCACAGCACTTTATACGATCTCTACCTATCCAGCCTGATATATTCTTAATTTTCAGGTGCCTCTTTCATCCACTTAACTTGGAGTATCTCCAGGACACAGACATCTTCCATACCCTCTCCGTGTTTAGCTTTGTCTGGTCCACAGTAGGTGTTTCAACCATGTTTGTTGAATACACTGACCCAAATGTTCTCCACTGACCACCGACCCTTCCCATTTAGAACGATCCAGCCCTCAAATGGAATCAAATATGCTGGCGAGAACCCGATCACTCTAGACCTCCGTTTCCCTGGTCGCAGCCACACCTGCCAATGACGTCCTTAGGGTCGTACTTCTGGTAAAACTCCTTGGCCGCGGCCCAGTCGGGCAGCTCATCCTCCGGCCCCACGTCCAGCGTCATTCTGAAGGAGTTGGGGGCCTGTGCGGAGGAAACAGAAGGCAGTGAGGGCAGAGAGGCCCACAGGCTCTGAGACGATGCACATCGCGGCTCCCGGAGGCGCAGCCCTTGCGGCTGGGGCGCCAGGGTCTTGGGGGATGGGGGCGGGGTAGGGGAAGGATTGGGACTGGGAAGACCCCTCAGGAGGGCCTAGAAGACTACAGGGATGGCGGGGCGGGGCGGGGACGGGGACGGGGAAGGGGAAGGGAAAAGGTGCCCAGGGAGAAGGGGGAACGGGAACTGGGGCAAGCGGCTGTTGCCGCGCAGGCGCACTTGGGCAGGCGCGGAGAGAGTACGGTGGTCTCGCGCTGGCTCACCTACGGGGGCAGGCAGTGAGGCCAGGGTCCACGCGAGGTCGCTCTGTCCTGGAGTTCCCCGTTTAGTCCCTTACCTTACCCCCCGGCGGCGCCGGCTACGACCTAACTCCACCTCTATCCTGTTCGCCAATGGCCAGCGCCAGCCGAAGCCTGCGGTTCAGTAGCTCTTTCGATTGGAAACTGGTAGTCCAATAGAGAGCCGTGAGTCCCAGGGGCAGGAGCCAGCGTTGGGGTTCAAAGTTACCTAAAGCCGCGACGCTAGGGCGGGCTTCAAGTCCAACCAATCAGCGCGTGGGATCTGCCGCGGAAGGCGGAGCTTGTTGTCAAGTGGGGCTTGAGGCCTGTAATGGGACCTGGAAGTTAGGTTTACCCGGAAGCGTGACCTCGGGGCCGCCAAGATCCAGGACCTTATTGTGCCTCCAGTTGTGGACTTGGATAAGACACCCTCAGTTTCCTTCCACACCTCTATCTGAATCCAGCACTTCTTAAAATGCAGCCTGGGTTCGGCGCCTGTGGCTCAAGTGGCTAAGGCGCCAGCAAGAAAGAAAAAAAGTTAACCAGGGAAGTTCAGGCAGGAGGATTGCTTGATCCCAGGAGTTTGAGGTTGCTGTGAGCTAGGCTGATAGCCCAGCACTCTAGCCCTGGCAAGAATAAGTGGCGGGCGCCTGTGGTCCCAACTACTTGGGAGGCTGAGGCAGGAGACTCGCTTGAACCCAGGAGTTGGAGGTTGCTGTGAGCTGTGATGCTACAGCACTCTACCCAGGGGGACAGCTTGAGGCTCTGTCTCAATAAAATAAAACAAATAAAACGCAGCCTGGTGCTAAATGTTTACCTTGAGGCAAAGACTCCCGCCCTGAAAATGTTTGTAGGCACGCAGCTTGGACCCCAGCTCCGCCACTTGATGGGAATTATTAGACCAAAAGAGGCCTCCTCCTGTGGCTGCTCCAAGTCTTTTTGAATACCTCCAAAGCCCTAGTGCTTACCACCTGGGATTATACACTTTCCCAATCTTCCACTCCCTCCCAGAAGTCTTGGCAATGTATCAAGTTGTGTTCTAAACCTACCAAATTGTGAGACTGTGCCAGGAGTGACTTCATAAACCTTCCCAGTGCATATACTTGGCTCATATTTGGCACTCACTAACTCAACAAATATTTGTTGTTAAACTTCCGGGACCTAGACGTTAAACAGCAACTGAAAACATACACTGGTGGTGCCTGTGGCTCAAAAGGGTAGGGCACCGGCCCCATATGCCAGAAGTGCTGGGTTCAAACCCAGCCCCGGCCAAAAACTGCAAAGAAAAGAAAACATACACTTGTGGAGGTTATCTTCTAGTAAACCAGAAACAGAATAAATCTTCCAATAGCTATCTTAGAAATAACACTTTAGGGCGGTGCCTATGGCTCAAGGAGTAGGGCGCTAGCCCCATGTACCAGAGGTAGTAGGTTAAAAAAAAAATACTTAAAAATAACACTTTAGGATCATAACCATATAAAGGGAGAAAAATGAATCCAAGTAACTTTTAACAGAGCCCTTTTCTCCCTTTACAAAAGAATTCTTTTGTTTCATTGAGACAGTCTCACTTTGTCACCCTCGGTAGAGTGCCATGGCGTCATAGCTCACAGTAACCTCAAACTCTTGGGCTCAAGCGATTCTCCTATATTTAGCCTCTCCAGTAGCTGGGACCACAGGCACCCACCACAACACCTGGCCATTTTTTGTTTGTTTGTTTAGCAGGCCGGGCGGGGCTTAAACCCACCAGCCCGGGAGCATGTGGCTGAGGCCCCAACCACTGAGCTACTGGCGCACAGCCCCTTTACAAAAGAATTTTAAAGCAATTTTGAATTTTACTTAGGTTTGTTGTTTGTTGTTAAAATGGGATACTTATCTGAAATTAAGTTAGTAAATATATTAATGTAGTCAAGAACCAATGTTCTTAGCGTGGGAATATGTAATCTGGAATAGGAAAAGGTGATGAACAACCCAATGATTGAAATGGAAAGAATAATCCTCCACACTCATAGCTCAGTGATTAGGGCACTGGCCACATGCACTCGGGCTGGTGGGTTCCAATCTAGCACAAGCTTGCTAAACAAACAACAAACAAAAAATAGCCGGGCATTGTGGCAGGTGCCTATAGTCCCAGCTACTTGGGAGGCTGAGGCAAAAGAATTGCTCGAGCTCAGGAGTTTTAAGTTGCTGTGAGCTGTGATGCCACTGCACTCTACGAAGGGTGACATAATAAGACTCTGTCTCAAAATAAATAAATATAAATAAAATAGGTAAAACTAAGTACTGTATTTTCTACCTCTGACCTCTGAAGGGGCCCAGAAGCAATAGTATCTCAGTAGAATGAGTACATCTAGTGTCTACTTATTTCTAGGCTGGGCGCAGTGGCTCATGCTTGAAATCCTAACATTCTGGGCGGGTGGATCGCCTACGAGCGGTTCTCAACCTGTGGGTCACGACCCACGAGAACTGTATTAAAGGGCCATGCATTAGGAAGGTTGAGAATCACTGCAAGACTCCATCTCTACTAAAAATCGAAAAACTAGCTGGGCACTGTAGCAGGTGCCTGTAGTCCCAGCTACTCTGGAGGCTGACACAAGGGGGATTGCTTGAGCTCAAGAATTTGAAGTTGCTGTGAGTTATGAAGTCACCACGACAGACTGGGACTCTGGTTTCTTATTTTATTCTTTTTTTTTTTTTTTTGAGATAGGGTCTCACTTTGTTGCCCTCAACAGAGCACCGTGGCATCATAATTTGCAGGCTTCACCAAGGAAAATACAAGATGAGTCTGGAGCAATGTGTGCCAAAAGTAAAGAATGACAAGAGAACTTGCCAAAAGGGCACAGGACCCAGGTTGAAGAGGGTTCCACGGTCAAAATCAGTAACAAAAATGAGAGGAGGCTTCTGATGTGCTGCAAATCTTCCATTCACCTAGATGGTGATTACCCAGGTATATTTACATAAAAACAGTCATCAAGCTGCACATTTAAGATCTGTGTTTTACTGTATGTAAATTATACCTCAACAAAACATTTTAAGGATAATGACACTAATGGATAGAATTGAACACTCTGAAACCAAACTGACAGTAAAAATTTTAAGCAAATAAAAAAACAATCTTTTTTTTTTTTTTTTGGAGAGTCTTACTCTTGTTGCCCAGGCTGGAGTGCACTGACAGTGTTGTGAGCATAGCTCACTGTAATCTTCAATTCTGGAGCTCAATCAATCCTGCCAAAGTGCTGGATTATAGGCATGAGCCACCAGTCTAAATTGAGGGATATTTTAAGAACTGACCTTTCTTCAAAAAGGTCAATTAAAAAACAAACAAAAAAAAGGCCGGCCATGATGGTTCACACCTACAATCCTAGCACTGGGAGTCCAAGGTGGGTGGATTGCCTGAGCTCACAGGTTTGAGACCAGCCTGAGCCAGAGTGAGACCTCATCTCTAAAAAAAAATAACTGGGTGTTCTGGCAGGCGCCTATAGTCCAAGCTACTTGGGAGGTGGAGGCAAGAGAATTGCTTAAGCCCAGGAGTTTGAGGTTGCTGTGAACTATGACACCATGGCACCATCCTCTACCAAGGATGACAAGTTGAGACTCTATCTCCAAAAAAAAAAAAAGGCCAATAAAGGGCTGGGCACAGTGCTCAGTGATTCTAGTGCTCTGGAAGGCTGAGGTGGGAGGATCACTTGAGCTCAGGAGTTAGAGACCAGCCTGAGCAAGAGCAAAACCTCATCTCTACTAAAAAAAAAAAAGAAAAAAAGTTAGCCAGGGAGGTTGAGGCAGAAGGATTGCTTGATCCCAGGAGTTTGAGGTTGCTGTGAGCTAGGCTGATAGCCCAGCACTCTGGCAAGAATAAGACTCTTTGTCTCTCTCTCTCTCTCTCTCTCTCTACACACACACACACACACACACACACACACACATAAGCCAAGCACGCTGACACATGCTTGTAGCCCCACCTGAGACAAGAACTTGAGGCCAGAAGTTCAGGACCTCTGTGTGCTATGACTGTGCTACTGCACTCAAGTCTGGGCAACATAGCAAGATCCATCTCTAAAATAATTAATAAAATTCTTAAAAAATTTTAGCTCTCCTCTTCCCCTCCCTCCTCTAACCCTAAACCTATAAAAAAGGGAAAAAAAGAAGAAAAAATTTTAAATATCACAAAGACAAAAAAGGATAAGGAGCTATTCAAAATTGGAGACTAAAGAGAAATGAGAACTAAATACAATAAGTGTTGCCACCTGGACCCTCAAACAGAAAATAAAATCTACAAAGGATGTTATTGGGACAAATGGAAAACTTGACTATATTATCAGTATCATATTGATGCTAACTTCTCTAAATTATGTAATTGTATTATAGTTACATGAACAAATATACTTGTTTCTGTTTTTAGATCATGAAATTATTTTGGGATGAAAGGCCTGCAGATTACCCTGAAATGTTCAACAAAAAAGCAAATGTGGTAAAATGTTAAAAATTATAAATCTAAATGAAGAATATAAATTGTTTTATCATTTGAATTGCTTTCAAAGTAGAGTTGAAAAATAGCAAGAGGCTAGGTGTGGTGGCTCACTCCTAAGATCTCAGCATTTTGGGAGGATGAGGCAGGACAACTGCTTGAGTCTAGGAGTCTGAGACCAGCCTGGGCAACATAGTTAAGACTCTATCTCCCCATCTCTACATTAAAAAAAAAAAAGCTAGATTTGGTGGTATCTGTAGTCCTAGCTACTCAGGTTAAGACAGGAGGATTAGTGTGAACTCATGATTTTGCAGTTGCAGTACATATGATTGCATTCCTGAGCAGCAGAGAGACACTCTCTCAAAAAAAGAAAAACAAAAACAAACAAACAAAAAACCAACCCAAGAATTCATTTCATCTTGTCAGTTTAGGGTAACTGGATAGTCTTTTCTAGTAAACTGAAAATGATTAATAAAGCATTGGCTCATAAAGGTTTCAATAAAAATGTTTTCAAAATGTGTTACCTTTCTTTCATGATTTAGGAATTAGTAGAGTGAATCAAATAAAGTCATTATCTAAGAAGCAGTAGAACTCAAACTATGTGCACTACACTCAATTGAAAAACTGGCAGGTGTGGTGGCTCACGCCTATAATCTAGCACTGTGGGAAACCAAGGTGGGAGGATCCCTTGAGCTCAGAAGTTCAAGATCAGCCTGAGCAAAAGCAAGACTCTGTCTCAACTAAAAATAGAAAAATTAGGCCTGTATTTTGGTAGGTGCTTGTAGTTTTAGCTATTTCAGAGGCTGAGGCAGGAGGATCATTTGAGTCCAGGAGTTTGAGGTTGCTGTGAACAAGACCATGGCACTCTAGTTCCAGCAACAGAGACTCTGTCTCAAAAAAAAAAAAAAAAGGGAGGGGGCTCAGTGCCTGTAGTTCAGCAGCTAGGTCACCAGCCACGTACACCAGAACTGGCGGGTTCTAACTCAGCCTGGGCCTGCTAAATAACAATGATAACTACAACCAACTATACATATATATATAGCTGGGCGTTGTGGTGGGCACCTTGTAGTCCCAGCTACTTGGGAGGCTGAGGCAAGAGAATCGCTTGAGCCCAAGAGTTTGAGGTTGCTGTGAGCTGTGATGCCACATCACTATACTGAGGGTGACAAAGTGAAACTGTCTCAAAAAAAAAAAAAAAGAAAGAAAAATTGTAACATGCAGGCAACAACTCATACCAATTAAAGCAGAATTTCTGTGAAATAAAGCTCAAGCATAAGTTTTTGTTGTTTTTTTTTAAAGAGGGGGTCTCATCATCTAGACCGGAATTCAATGGCCTGATCACAGCTCACTGCAACTACCAACTCCTCAAGTGAGCTAGCCTTTCAAGTAGCCAGAACTTACATGCGTATGCCACTATATCCAGCTAATTTTTTTTTTTGAGATAGAGCCTCAATTTTGGCATCATAGCTCACAGCAACATCAAACTCTTCAGCCCCAGCAATCCTTTTTTCTTAGCTTCCTGAACAGCTGGGACTACAGGTGCCCACCACAACTCCTGGCTTTTTGTTTTAGAGATGAGGTCTCACTCTAGCTTAGGCTGATCCTGACCTCCTGAGCTCAGGCAATCTACCTGCCTAGATCTCTCAATGTGCTAGAATTACAGGTGTGAGCCACCAGGTCCAGCTTAAATTTTTAATTTTTTTGTGGAGACAGGGTCTCACTGTTTCTCAGGCTAGCACTAAACTCCCAGCCTCAAGCAATTATCCTGCCTTGGCCTCCCAAACTGCTAAAATTACAGGAATACACCAACTCATTACTTACTTTTTAAGGCTCCCCAGTTGGTTCCATTGTGAAGCCAAGATTGAGAACACTGATCTATCTATGGCTTCTAGAAAACCAATAATGGATTCTCTTCACTTTTCCTTCCTGGAGCACTTTGGAACCTTCTCTTCAGTGTGCAACATCTCTAATTCCTTTAGGTACTCTGCTGTGCTCTGAATTATGATGGGGCAAACAAAAACTTCATTTCCAGGGCACACGTGTTCCAAGGGGCACATACAAAAATGTCAATAGCAGTATGGCTCATAATATCCCCAAATTGGAAACACCCAAAGTCCCTATCTATTTTAACAGAAAATAAACTGTGACATAATCATGTAACAGAATACTATACAGTAGTGAAAACTACAGCTATATCAAATATTGATGAATCTCAATGTTAAGAAACTGGACATAAAATGCTTGATACTTAATTCCATCACAGACAAAATTAAACTACATTATTAGAAATTAAGAATGATGGCTCGGCGCCTGTGGCTCAATCGGCTAAGGCGCCAGCCACATACACCTAAGGTGGCGGGTTCGAATCCCCAGCCCGGGCCCGCCAAACAAC